TCTTCAGCTATTTTGTTTATATCGATGTGTAGTATTTGAGTGATGAAGACGACTAGCAATCGCATGAAAAACAAATGATCAAGAGCCACTAGTGTTGTTCATTAATTTTGGATGCTTACCAACGACACGCTACTTTCTGGTCAAGAATGAAGATCACATATCAAATTCATGACAATTTCCCATGTGCTCTGAAGTTTTGGTTCATCTATTTTACTGGCATGAAGTCAATGACTCGAAAATAGTCAACGTTTTGTGAGTCATTAATCAAGTGAATAATCATCATCAGCATCCGATTCTGTTGACTTATTTTATCTACAATAGTATGCATATTTCAATCAGATAGTTCATTGATATTTTTACATGACACATGAATGATTCCAAAAATGCCAATGATCATATTCATATATATGTCAATTATTTGAAAGCAAAATTATTGCATTGTTACACGTGAAGAAGATAACATATCCAATAAATCAATTGAATCAAAGTTCTGTTCACTTATATTTCTTTGACTCTAGAATTTAAATATGAAAGTCTTCTATTGACTCGTGATCATATTAAAAATGAATAATCATAACGACATTTATAGCAGTTCCAACAAACGTTCTATTGCATAATTTTGCCTGCTCCAAAATAAATCGTTGGAGTTCGGTTAATAATTCAAATTTGCATAACACACAAATAATCCGTAGAACGCTGAAATTCGCTTATCACTTTTTTTGTTAGTGAAACTTAGAAGTTCTTCAGCAAATCATAGTTCACAGGGAAAGCGAATAAGTAGAATGACCTTTACACTCGGTTCAGTTATTTTTCTTCCTTCAAATACAGATTCTATTATAAGTAGTTATGGACAAATTATGGAGTATATGACTGATCATGGCAAAAGTAGCGTTCATCTACTCTATTCAGTCGGGAGCAAACGTCTCAAGTTTTTTTTTGTTCACCAATGATCACTGAAATAGATAGCTTCTATAAAGTCTTGCGCACGTGTCGCGTACAGGAAATACTCGATATTCTAAATAGAGATACCAGATAGCCGAAAAAAATCGTATAGAACACAGGTGATGACTTCATAAGAGGTGCGCTAAGAGAAACATGATAAACTTTATAGAAGTCGTCCAATGAAGAGTTCGCCACTCCAATGGAAGTTGTCAGCATATCGTATCCAGATATCTTTAACACTCTATAATGCCTTAGCAGTGGACAAGAGAACTTATCCATGGAAAAGCTATTCTTCTTTATAAAGAAATGCTTCATCCGACATAAAGTCATGCATATTAAGAAGGAATAGAACAAAGGAATTCTCTGTTCTTCTCAGTGCATTTCAGTTTCAACAGATATCGTTTTCTAAGGGTGAGGAAATAATATGATTGTTATTTGCTTACGAATTTTTATTTCTACTTGCGATGATAACGAATTGAGTAGAGAAAATGCCGCGACTTTCAAAAGGCTGCTTCTCAAGCTACACTGGATCAGAAAGTTTTGCTGTGATGCCAAAAGACAAAGAGGGTGTGGGCATGCATGTCGGTGGAGGTGTGAATGTTAGTGTTCCGTTCATCCATAGCCACATCCACACCCTTTGTGTAGATTTCATTGATATGATCTTTTTAAAATAAGCATTTGCCAGTTTTTTTGTAGCAGTAAAAATACTGGATGCTACTAGGGGTATCAGTTTCGGGTTCCATACCTGGGAACTCGGGACCTCATTTGGATTCCCGTTCCTAGGAACCCGAAACCCGCTCCGGTTGTCAGTGAGGGCGTAGGGTGTGAGTGGATGTGGCTGTGGGTGTAGATGTTTGTGTGAATTTTGCTACGGATAGCGTGTGGCTATTGAAGCACTGCTAGCATCCACACCCACACCCATACCCTTGAAAAACTCATTTCAGAGCCTAATTCTAGAATAACGTTCTAGGCATTCCTTTTCTTCTTTATCTTTAAAAGAGTCAATGAAAAAAGCATTGAGGGTCTTACGTAAGTGAAAACTTCTACTTACTCGGCTATGTTAGTAAAGTATAATTTTCTAAACTGAGCCTAAAAACGCTCATTACATACCATTTCTTGGATTATCTGCCATGAAAGTGACTTCTGGCGGCTTCGGGTTTGGCTTCATTTCACGCGGATGTTTAGATTCGAACGATCTGGGGATTGGCTCAATCAGTCGTTGCCGTTGTTCCCATTGTCTTATCAATTGTTCAACGCGACCGCCCTGTAGGACAAAACTCATTACTATTCTCAATTTCTCAGTATTTGATCAAACCTTGTTCGCAATATTTACTCGATCGTTCAGTTGATTTTTTTTCAGCCTCGCGGCCATCAAATATGTTATCGACAACTAAGTCTAAATTGAGATCAATGGCACAATCTGAAAGACGTCTATTAAGATCGATAAATTATTCTCTGTGTTCTGTGTTTTTGAACGCCCTCATGAACAGGTTGGCATCGGCAAACTGACGAATGAAGTTGTAACATTTTTCAATGCATGAAAGGAAATTCTTCAACGCCGAACTTAGTTCGGACCGTCTGAGACCATTGGCATTGGTTATAAACTGTTTGAGCATATCAACTATAGCTATGATACGTCTCTCAAGTCGTTGACATTCTTGCTTGTTTTCCTTTACAGCGTGGATCGTCGTCTCAATTTTTCGAGCGACATAGATGATAGTTTTGATAATGCTTACTAGATCTATGGAGAACCTAGGAAGTTGCTGATGATGATGGCGTTCCCTTAACAAGAAGAATGTCTACCGAAATGAATTGTTCAGAAAAACCATCCTATCAATAGAGTTCTCATCCTAGTCTTCGTATCAGCATCGTTCTGATTGTGGTAACAGGTATTTCATAAAAATAGCGGTGCCAGTATTTCGACGATACCACGGTCAATTTTCATCGTTCATGCTTTAATTTTTTTCAGAAGATTCGCCGTACAATTTTGCACAAAACGGTATGGTGTACTCAGGAAATATAGGTTTTTTGATCTTTAGAAAATAACTTAATTGAACTATGCCATTTGCATACTATTTTTCTAACTTTTGACTTTTTCTATTTCTTTTTAAAAAGTCTTCTGATTCCTGTATCATTTGGGTTTTTGTCGTGGTACGTTCTCAGCTCATGATTTAAACTGATTCATATCAGATAAAATTAATTATGACAAATTGCTTAAAGCAACGAACTGAGAATGTGTCATAATAAAAATCCCTGCGATATACTCTATACTATCTCCATTGCACTCTGGCATTGCAGAATCAGTAATGAAAATGTGTCGCAAAATTTTGTATCGCTGATTCGGTGAAGAAAATACGTTGTATCTACCGTAGAAGAATTGTGTCGCACACAGCTCAGGTCGTAAAATGAAGATGTATGGTAAAGTGCCCATAAAAAGTCTAGAGTGTACAAAGGATATGGATGTGGAGTGTCGGTGTGGGTGTGACTGTGGGGTATAGGTGTGGGTGTGAATGTGGGCGTCAGTGTGGATGTGAATGTGGGTATCAGTCGTCTGTCCATCCACGCCTACACCCACACTTGCACCCACGACCACATCCACACCCGCAACATAGAGTTTTGTAGAGCTTGAGACGCACTATCCAATGGTATACAAATGTTGTAGTTTCTCTCAAACTTTAGTAAAGAAATAAGGTGCACAAAAAAAAACTACGAAAATAGTGTAGTTTTGATGAGTCGACAAGAGTGATCAATACTACATCGCCTATATCTCAAGATGATATCCAACTGAGACCTGATATTTTCAGTTTTGTATGCACACACTAGGATCTTTTGAACGAAATATAATAGATCAAAATCTGAAACTCAGTTCCGAACAGTTTGGTCGATGGTCTGGCGAAGTCTCTCTTTAAAAATAAGATAGCGATGCTCAACAAACAAGCAGCAAACTAATATTTTCGCGAGCTACCTTTTGCTTCAAATAGAATATGACCCTGTTTTTAATATTGGTTCGTTTGTGTAAGGCGAATATGGAGAATCATTAGAATATCTTTTAGCAAGTACTAGCTCGCTATTTTTTTTCCAGCGATGATGAGTATGATGAGTCTTTCGTTTACACTTTTTTCCATTTAAATCTTATTATGATATCATAAAGTTTTACCATTAGCTACAAGTGGGTATCTAGTAGTTATTGATGGTGCATCTCAGTTTCTGGTTGACTTGGACATAGTATGTCCGAGCACGGTCGATTGTGAAAATATCTTACATTTTATGGCTAACCTGAATTGCTACACTTGATTGATTCTGGTTTTTCTTGCTTTCACAACGCTCAGAAACTTCGAGTACGACGAAGTGATCGACAGACTAGTGTAAGTAATTTGAAAGAAACAAACAAAAGTGTGTTCGTTTATATAGAACTTCGCCAAGTATACGATAGTAAACAAACGTAACTTTGATGTTCGTCAAATATTTGCTTGTTTTGAAGGTGTCGATATGGATAAAAACAAGATAAGAAAAATGATGAGGTGTAGATAAGGCAACTCTCGTCGAGCTCTTTCAGAGATGTTTGTGAATGAAAGCACAAGACAAACCATGTGCTGGGCAAAATGATAAACGCAGATCTATAGAAACATTCTCCGCTAACTAATATTCAATTGATCGATATTTTATCTCGATAGAAAAAGAGAATTGATAGCTGATGTTCGGACCGTGTTTTACCACAGTGAGATCGTGTCGAATCAGCGAAGATAGAATAAAATCCAAATTACCAACCTATTGTCACTGCAAGATTTGTATCACTGTACATGCTTCTGCACTCATCCATACAAAGCGGAAAGACTCATAAGTTGTCTCATTTGGAAATACATAAAACGGGATTCAAAAGAAACATTAGAGTGTGGGTGTAGGTGTAGTGCGCATTTCTCACATTTATCATCAATTAGAAGTGTTCCTATGGTCATATTGTCACACTTAACAATGAGAATATGAATATTTGTTATGGTATTAATGATAAATTATTCGAGTACATTTGACCAGAATATATCACAAACGAAATCATGATGCTAGGGAATTCCTCGACGACTTGAGCGATATCGGTTAGAGGCTAAAAAGAATCCAGAATTTTGTTCTAATGTAAGATATTCATTTTTAGCCGCAATACAATGTCCAGCATTGATTGTTCCTTTGATTGATAAATGTAATCAAGACGACGGCATTTTTGTTTTAGTTTTTCAATTGATTCAGCAAAATCGTTCATTTTTTCGCTAATTGTGCTCTCTATGGGATCGGATGACTGTTTTGTATTAGATTGCCATCGAAAGCTAACGTAGGATTTTCCATTCACTTCGAATGGGACAGAAAATCGTTTGTATTCGTTAATCATTTTGCGGAATCTATATATTAAGTCAATGATGGTGTGAGTGTGGTTCTTCTATTCATGTTCACCCACACCGATACCGAATAGTATTAACATTTTCTCGTTAATTTTGTCGGCAAGCTAATTGCCATTCTGATAATCACATTCGATTACATATAGTTCCGCAGAACAGAAGGGAGAAAACACAGATCGAGAGTAAGTAAACGGTCGACTAACGACCAAAAGAAATAACAGCATATTTCATGAGCGCATTACTATTGAAAAAAATTTTCCTAGGTCTCTGTCTGTGTTGTGTTAATCTTCAAATGAATCATAAACTTTAGTGAAAAAGAAACTCGAAATGCTGAAATAGGTGTTGTTATCAATAAAATCAATCCTGACTTTTTTCTCTCCGACCAAATTTTGGTTTCTCGAAAGATTACCAAGACGTGTACAGCAAATGAATGGATATGTAATGTTCGTTTCTTCTTTTTCTTACAAATGAAAGCGGTTATTTAATTCTATTTGATTTTATATTTTGTGAGTGATGATGATGATTTTCTCTTCAATCTCACCCTCACCTTTCTTCTCGAACAAAAAAATACCGATGTCTATTGGCATCAATCGTCATCTTGCATGAATGATACTTTTCAATTTCTTTTCGATGCGATACAGATAAAAATTGTACATGCGATCGTTGAAGATATCTATAGATCGCTTCTTCTGTTTGCTTATCACAACCCGATGTTGTTTCATCAAGAACGAACAATCGTATAGTCTCTATACCGACAAGAAATGCAGTGACCATCATTAGTCTTTGTTGTTCTCCGATAGATAGAAGTTGTGACCAATTTTGTGGTTCTCCATCCATTAAATAACGATCGATAAGGTGACTTAGACCAAGTTCATTGAGAAGTTGTTGAGCTCGAATGTCATCAGTGATTGGGCCAAGTCCATGTGCCTAGAAGTCAATCTTTCTCGATCTGACTATTTCTATCGAAAATAATTTTCATACTTTTCGAAGATAGGACAGTTGCTCTCTCAATGTACCCTTGATCAAGTATAATTGTTGACAGAGAAAAATCGTGTTTTGACGTGGGAGAATACGCAATACTGAATCGTTGTTAGTTTCGTTGAGAATAAGACCAGCAAGAAGACTAAGTAGTGTGGATTTACCACAGCCAGATGGACCTGTAATGATGAGATTATCGGAGGACGATAATCGCAGATTGACATCCGATATCAGTAGATGCGAGGATTGAGGAATACGTATGTCCACATGCTCGAGGATGATGGATGGTTCGTCCAGTTTCGATTGAATATACTGACGTCGTCTACGTTCTCGTTCATCAATGGCGAGTCGACGATGATGTTCGTTTATCTGGCGAAGACGTTCTGAAATGAGAATAATTTATACTTCATTCCTGTTTTTCAATGACATCACTCGAAATTTGATACGATATTTTAAGATCTATTCCATAATACGGAAATATTCACTTACCAACGTAGCCGACAATACGTATTCCAATAGATTGAATATGTGTGAGAGGATCACCAAAATAATTTATATAATTCCATGAAGAGAAGAGATTGTACATATACACGCTTAAAGTAATAAATGAATTTGATATTGTTGGATCTGCTAATCCTTGAGAGTACCAAGTGTGAAAGAAGATTGCCGCTGGTATACCATAATTGACGAGATAGGTATTGACGATAGATAATCTGACAACACCTACAATAATAGAGTAGAAAAAACCGGCATGTATTTGAGAGTGAACCGATGCATCTAATTGATGTCGAAGTTCGCCTTCCTCCACTTTATATACGTCTTCTCCAGAGAATGCAATCTGCTCGGCCTGAAGATCTATTCTTTTGTGTGCAGCTACAAACTGAGCAAAGTTTGCTTCATCAATTCGATTCCATTTGTTCAACGAAGCAGAAAGTAAATTGATAAAAATAAAGAAACCAAGTACGAATGAGTAAACAATAAGTACTCCAATCGATCCACCATTTTGTTGCCCGAGAAGAACAGCAAGAATGATGGCCAGGATAATTTGACCTATAAAAATGATGATGATGATGATGATGATGCATGTGTTAAATCAGATATAACTGCAATACACTCTCACCTATAATACCCGTATAATATATATGACCGAAAATGAAATGAAAGACTTGACTGTTCATTTCAGCAATATCATGTGAAAGTATATTTGGTATTGCTGTCATATGTCTACTATGATACAACAGATTATTTTCATACTCTTCGAAGGATCTATCTAAGAGTAAACGTGCAAGAAAAACCATTTGTCTGCGTGTATAAAGTGTAGCTAACAGTTGACCACCACCAACAGTAAGAGAAAATAGTGTAGGAGTTGCTACCATGAGAATGACATAGTTGACAATGTTCGATTTGATCGATTCTTTCGCTTGAGCAAGGGAAATAGATCCACTACCGTAATCAGATAAGACACTGTATAATGACGCAGTTTGCTTAGTAAATTTATATGTTGACCAGGTACTGGCACCAAGTACACCAAGTGTCAGTAACCAAGCAACGATTGTCTGCGAGAAAAAGAAGTTGAATTCTTTGTGGCAGTCTGATTTCTTACTTGCAATTTTAGCATTTTATCATTAGCTTGGAATGGTAAATGAATGAATTTTAATATATTCAATATCAGTCGCCATTTAGAAATATCTTTCTCGTTCACATTTGACATATCATCATTTTTTCGTGATTCACTGTCGATCTAAATCATAATTTAATAAACAATAAATAACCTATGAAGGAAGAAATGCTATCTGCAGAGAATTTTAGAAAGTTCCGCAAAAGTTGTCGATAAATATAAGAATAAAAAGTTTACTTGACAATATTTGATGTCTATTGCTTCAATCTCATTATTTTCGTTTTCTTCTAATTTCTTTTCATCATCACCATCATTAAGTGTCAACACTTGGCATTCAGTTTGTGTTTGTTCTATTGATTGTTGTCGATCTTTATTGGAGAAGAAATGTAATGATTTTGCATGTAAATGAACAAGTGATGATCGATGAGAGATCGTCACAAACCACACACGCAATTGAATCAGACGTGCATAAATCTCATGCTCCGTCGTTACATCGATAGCGCTTGTAGCTTCATCGAATAGAACCAGAGTCTTTCGTATGAGTTGGTCGTTGTTCGGTGTCAAAGTAAAGAATGCTAGTAAGCGAATGAAAGATAAGCGTTGTTGTTCACCAACTGATAAAACTGTAGGCCAGTCAACAATCTTTCAAAGAAATGTATATGTTGATTAATCTAGCAACAAATCTTATTACCACCTACTGTATCAAGTGTATATCTTTGGAGTAAATATAGTAGATTTACTACTTGAAACAGTTGATAGATATCTTGATCAATGATATGATTGTGTTCTTTTAGTAGAAGAAGAACTTGAAAACGTAAACTACCGCGAGGTAGATAAGGTCGTTGCGGAATGAAGATGAGATGCGACCGTTCTGGCAATATCAGCTGTTTCGCATTGGCTGGCCAAAGTCCTGCGCAAATACGGAATAGCGATGTTTTTCCGCATCCACTTGGCCCAGAAATGAGAATACATTGACCACGTGCAGCCTCCAAGTTCACATCACTCTGTAATAATGGAGCATTTACAGCATCTAAATTTCCAAAGAAATCTTTACAGGTTTGTTTATATTAAAAAACCTCTTACGCAATACGGAGATATCCAAATGATGAATAACAAGCATATCTCTGTTGTGTTGCCTGATGCCACTCTCTCGTTCATATGCAATGCGCTTCTGATGATACTTGGCCAATTTTTCCAAATGATTAATCATCATCCATAAATGGTCACCCATCGTGATGGTCACCAACGCTGGTTCCATAATCAGTAAGAACTGACTGAGAACAGTGGTTAAGAAGGAATAAAGTGGAATGACAGCTATTGAATAACAAAATTTAAATGAAATTCTTGATTTTTATCCATGTTCTCTTCTTACTCAAGTATGTTTGTGCTAGTTCCGGACTTTGTGTTTGTCGAATGAAGAAGAACACCACAGCAGGCATAATATATGTACACATTCCATTTAGTGCACCTGAAAAAAAGGTTCATTAATCTCACTTACATTATATCTAAGAGACATTTTGATTAACTTACTTAACAACTGTATGGGAAAATTAATCAATGCAAAACTAATAGATCCAATCAACATGGAATTACGCATGTTTAAGATGAATCGTTCGATATATTCAAGTTCCACTCGTTGACTAGCGTAGAGGATAATACAGTCGGCATTTGTTTGAATACGTTGCATATATCCATGAAGACAACCCTTTATTTTTGACTATAAAAATAGAAAGTTTTGTTCAAATAGTATGCTCCTGTAACATTTTGATTCTACGAAAAATTTTCTTCGGAAATTTTTCTTAAAAACAATCTAATCTTACTTGTTTGATCAAGTTCCAATTGTACATCTGTGTACTTGGTAATATAATCAGTACACAAAAGATAAATGCACCAAAACAAATAAGAATACCACTTGTATCTCCATTCTCAGCACGAACGAGAAATACACAAGCAATAATAATCACAGCAACCACAGAGATAATACCCGTAAAAAACATCGAACCAAAAAGTAGAGTGGCAAAATTGCTTGTAAACAATTTCACATCGTTCGTAATTACTTTAGGGATATCCTCGTCTATCTGTGATGTTGCATACAATACACATCCATTAGGTGATCTAAATAATAACTCTCGAAAACGATCACATAATCGTTGACGCCATTGAGCAGCTAGGAAAACATTACATGCTTGAATGAGACCGAAAATCAGACCAAGAAAAAATGTCTTAATTACAGTACGCCAAATAAGATCATCGAATTGACGTCTACAATCAATGATCGATGATTTATTTGAAGCAACGTTAGACAGATAGAGATTATATTGACCAGCATCAGCTGTCACTGCATAGAAGAGGTAGCATGAGGATATCATGAGAAGAAGTACCAGTAGAAAAATTGAATATTGAAGAAGAGCATTTGAACGTGTACGTGCTCGAGTTCGACAGAAGATTAACGCACAACATTTGAACCAGGCTAAAGGCGAGACAAGTAACAGAAAATATCGTCGATCTTTTTTTGTTGTTGATGTTTCTTGAATAAAAATATTTGTATCGTTTGATATTCCAGCCATAATACACTGACATTAGTTATTCTTTCAGACTATGCGTATTTATATCAGACGTTTACGTAACAAGTAAAAAATATGTCTTTTACAAAGAACGAAAAAGAAAAAGAGTACTGCTTACGAGAGTTGAAGCAGTAAATATTGGTTATGTCACTACAGAAAATAAATGTAATTATTAAGGACAACAAGCAAAAAAAAGGCATGTGGAGTTTTTTCTCCTTGTACTATTTCAATCAGTCACTACTAAAGAATTGATGAAAGAAAAATCAGGCCATTTTAGCGTTGTCAACATTAAATATTCATCATACTAATATGACTCATAAACACTTCGATTTACTACTAAATTCAATACGAACGACTGCTAGACAAAGAAAAAAAAACTGCATGTTTCTTCATTTTTATCATATCTTCATATGTAGCAGAACAGAGATAAAATAATTTATTGACTAGTTCAATATCAACAAATATTTGAAGGGTGGACAAGGAGAGATCTCACTGGAGCCGCAAATATTGCTCTGAAACATACACATGATCAAAGAGAAAATTTAGTTATATACATTTATCAAGTTAGACATTCACTTTTATTGCATCATTTTCAAGGCTCCAGTAATTCATTCTCTAAGTCGAACACTAAGATGGGTGTACGGATGGATATGGATAGGATCAGAGTCTTCTTTATATTCACCCTTATTCTCACCCAACCACCTTCAAGAGCAAGAGAGGAACGAGCAAAAAGAAAAGTACTGATATGTATACACCCACCATTCTGCTTGTTATCTTAACTCACTATCTCATGAAGACAGAATTACCATACAAAATTTCAATTTCATTCTTTTGCGATAAAAAAAAAGAAACATGATGGAGTCGTTTTTATTAACCAAGAGTGATCGTCCCATATCGTTGTTCATCCTTGACTTTTTTCTCTTATATAAAAATTGCCTCGAACATATACATGTGAATGTCACATGTCAACAAATGATGTCATCAGTTAAGAGCCGTTTTCAATCTGTTTTCTTATCTATAGAGTTAGCAAGACAACATCAATGACATGAAAACTTTTTGCATGAAGAATGGAACGTGACAATAAATATGATGGCTTATTCAGGATAAAATTATGTCACATCTTTCAAACGAATCATACTTGATTTTTTTTCTTGTATTTCATATGTTTGTACTAAATTATAAATCATTCATATATTATTATGTTTTACTATTCAGATACATCAAATCTAACTGTATACTACGATTTTACGTAATTTACTATGAAAATTATTCCGACTGACGATTATAATAAACGACTCGATAAACATATAAAAGATGAATTTAAAAAGGTGCTCAAATTAACTCATCCATGTGAACATCAAAACCAAAACTGTCTAAAGGGCAGTGGCTGTCCCTTAATTGGTTTACCAAATGATATGTGTACGTATCATGTAAGAGGTAAATGCAAATACAATGGTGATACAAACAAATGCAAATACAAACATTACGCAAAATATGCAAATGTGTATAAAAAAGCTAAAGAAGAATTCAAGATGGAAGAAGCCCAACCGTTAGCAGTAATTAAACGATATTTGAGACGTTTTAATCCTTTGATCATGTCGATTATTGGAATTATTTTTAGCTATTTCATGCGTCGAGTTCTTGACTCTATGGTTCGAAAAGTTTATTAATTTATTTTTCTTTTTAATAAATGATGTACAAAAGAAAAGAAGAATGACAAAGAAACTCGAACTGCATTTTAGGAATCATTGAAACTCGAAAAGGTGGAGAATAGGGTGAGGGTGTGTGTGTTGGTGTGGGTGTGTGGGTGTATGAATGATTGCCTACACCCACACCCACACCTTTTAACGGTAAGCTAGAATGAGCTAAAATTTTGAATTTATAGGTTTCTCATGTTGCTCTTTCATTTCCAATCATAAAATATAGGGGTCAAAATTTTCGAGAGTATGACCCTATTGAAAAATGTTCGATTTTCTCGTGGACCGTCTCTTAATTATTTCTTTTTATTGGAATTGAATTATCCATATTCGTAACAATCTGCTGCGAAAAACTATTAAGAAATATATTTACATCATTTCTTGATTTTGTTTTTTCATTGAAGTTTTTTATTAATATCAATAGACGTATAGAAACTCATTGGAATTTATTTTCTCCATCAGTCATTCCTAATAGTTATGAATTAAAGGTGAGAAGTGAGTGAAGGAAAAAAAGCAAATAATTATTAAGTAAAAGTAGAGATTTCAGTCCGTCAAGATGGAATCATACAGTGTATATAAAAACATTTTTGAATATTCATCCCACATATGTATGTATTATCAATAAACATGAAGAATTCAAAGATATTAATTTAGATATCATATGAATACGTTCTCATTCTATATAATATCTCTTCTTTAATCTAACTATTGTTGACTTCTGAATGAACCTTTCTTCATATATATGCTTGGAAATGAATAGTGTCAGTGTGTATTTTAAATATATCGTCACTAGAAAAACATATTTAAAAACCAAACATAATTACATATTCTGAAAGCCCTAGAAATTTTCTACTACCCTATATATTTATGTTTTTAGTTGCAGCTTATATACGAGAAAATAAAAAGAGTATAATGAAAACATCCTCATGTCCGGATTCCAACAACCTTGATTTTGTCACTGTCATCAGTATTAATTGTTTAAAGTTTTTATCATTATAGAATTACCTTTTAAAAAAAGCAATCACATGTTCCAATAGAACTTGAAATTCTCTATCATTCTATATATTTTTGTCTTGCATTGCATTTATATATTGAAGAATAGTTCTAATATTAGATGAGCACCCTCCTTGACAAACTCTGAAAAATCTGAATTTTTCAGTAACAATTTATTTTTCATTTCAACTTTATTACTATAATAGATATAACTTTTGCAAAAAGTAATTTATGTCTTTTGTTGCTGCCTTATATGCTCAATTATCTTGAACTTTGAAAACAAAATTGAAAGAGATATTTAAAAAATCAACTTTTTTTTTACAGCTTGTGAAGGAGGGTATCTACGTATTACTCGAACTATTCTTCAGCATATAAATGCAAGATAATAGGAAAATATATATAATAGAAACTTTCAAGCTCTATCAAAATCTATAATTACTTTTTTTTAATAAATTTTCTTATAGGAATAATTCTGTCAAAAAGAAAACTACAAAACTAACAAAAAAATGCATATTTTTGTTACTTGTCAATTGAGAGCTTCTTCATTATATTCAAATTAGTTTTCAAGAAATGAATGTGATTACACAGATAAATAGATTGGATGAAAGAGAATATCAACCTTTATCAATATATATAATTGCTGTTTTAAAAAGATATTTCTATTGTGATAAAAAATTTTAAAAACTAATTTAGACAACAGTGACAAAATTCAGTTCTTCGAAATCTGGTGATGATGGGAGTCCTCATTGTACTCTTTTTATTTTCTTGTATATAATCGAAAACTAAAACATAAATATGCAGGGTAATAGAAAACTTCAAAGTCTTTCAGAATACGTATTTATGTTTCTTTTTTTAAACATATGTTTATAGTGACGATATATTTAAAATACAGACTGACACTATGCATTTCCAGGCATATATATTATGCTGATGGTAACTATTTTTAAAAAACTGAAAACGTCGAAGATTCCATTTATTATTATTCATTTCAAAATAAAATAAAATAAAATTCTCTCATGCATGAAAACAATCTTTTAATTGCTACATTAAGTAATGAAAATAGAAGCAGTTTATATGGAGTTTCATGTTTTTTATATTATTTTATGCTTTTTGCAATCTTCTAAAAAAAAATGTCGACACTTGACTGTAGTGAAGTCTAACATATTGAAATCTATGTTAACTACTTTCAATAAATTAGCTATTTCATTCAGTGAAGTTCATTCAGCTCAGAAATATCGTTCTCCAAGAAACCAGTAAGATTTATGTGATTAATAGAAAAAAATCATATACTGGACGACTTATTCCATAGGATGATTTTTTCTTCTCATCTCATCCCATCCGAAAGTCTGTAATACATGTATTCACACATGATGATCAAATTTTACAAATGTTTATCATACTTTAAAATTATTATTTCTACCATTGAATCTAACATAAAAATAAGAGCATAATTGTTTAATAAAAATGATTTCTTCTATTTTACGCTAGCGAAACATTGATTCGATATGTATAAGTTTACTATCAACAAATGACAAAAAAAAGAAAACAAAAAGCAAACATATAAATTAATCCTTGTGTTGTTTATGCATGAAGTTTGTTGCTTTTGCCAATATTTCATATAGATGTCTCCATTCACCTTGAAGAGACAAACAAAAAATAAAATGTAATCAATTATTGAAAAATAATTGAATGTGAAAGACTTAGATATTCTTTTTCAATATCATAAACTTATGAAATTCTAATCTGTTTTATAAACAAAATCGTTTCCAAAATGATTCGTATTGTGATCAATTTTTTTTTGTTATGATATAGTAAGAATTGCATTTGAACTAAGAATCAGACATAAATTTATATTTATGAATTTTCTTCACTCGATTTTTAAGAAACAACAAAAGATAATCAACTATTAGACATAAGTAGTATTCATGTTTTACATAGATTTCACTATTGAGATAGATTTCTACAGAATGAGATTCTTCATTAAAGAAAAATTATTAAGCTCATACTATTTCATTTTATTCTTCCAATTTCAACAAAAGAAATTTTTTCATGTAATTTCACTAAATGAAATCTTGTTGAACATCCCACTGATGATGAACGAATATCATTTTAGCTATGAACTGACTTCTATTGTATTCGTATTTTTTCAAACTACTGTTTCCTTTCATTTTTACGAATTCCAGTTGCTTTATCAACAGTTATTTAGTTTAAATAAATCAGTTTCTACACATCGGACACTTTCAAATAAAACATAAATTGTGTTCATGATTACAGATGGAAATAACTTATCGAAGCCTTCATATGATGAAAGTTCAGTCAACTTTTATAAGATATATACTATTCAACTGTCTAGGTTGAACTATTGTTATGCTTGAATTTAATCACACTACAATGAATTCTACCTCACATACTCATAGATATGTCAACGATAAAATAAACTACTAAAAGTCATTTAGGCTATTTGTTGATTGTTCTCCTATTTAATACACTACAAAGGGTAGGTCCTACACATACAATATATGTATATGTTGTCAAGGCATTGACTCTATTCAATTGTGAAAGAGTCTTTACATATTAACATCACATTGTTTTTGGCAACGTCAAATTAATTATTTATGATTTAATAAAATGTCGGAGATGAATACGACTTGCACAATTGTGCTTAAATTGATCTAACAACCTAATAGTCTAGCAAATGATTTATTGCATATCATGCAGAATGTCTTATAGTTTCGCTGAAAGAAAAAGTTTTTATATAATTCACTAGAGATTTCACTCTATGAAATGGCATGAGCAAGGATGTAGACATGCTTTTCATTCATTGTAAAATTAGGTATATGAGATACTTATTACAGAATATCCTAATGTTTTTTTTATATATTGAAATTATTGTAAAATTTGAAATTTTTTAATTATTTAATATTCATAAAATTCTTAAAGTTTAAATTCATAAGATGTACTTACTATAATTGAAATGATCATCTACAGGATGAGTACAATGAGAACAAGTAAGTATATTGTTATTAACCTTTACGATGATAAGAGCAAACTCCAATAGTGTACGCTGTTGAAAATTACAATCTTGATTTTGTTCTTTACATTTGTTACAAAATGAATGCATTTTGAAAAGATGAATAATTTGAAATTTTCCTTTTCTAAAGCAAATTAAAAAAAATCATATATATGATAACGTATTAACAAGTTTCAGAATTATTTCATATTGAATCGTAAACAAAACTCAAGAGAAAATCATTATTTTGCTATTTGATCATGAGAAAGATCGAAATCTTTCAATTAAAAAAAATCAACATACTACTATTTCTCATTGCCATGAGAGTGTTTGTTTACTTACTTGATACCGAATTTATCTAATTCTGTTGTGGAATATGAGAAAGTATCTCTTCACTGTTGTTTTTATATTCGAAAATTTATGATAAATAACAACGCCTATAGTGCATAAAAAAAACGTAAAATGATCGGTGAACACGAAGATCAATAATCATTAGAAGGCCTATCGACCAACAAAATTAATGATTGTAAAGAGAATAGTATGTGCTCATATAGTATGTACGCTGAGCCCGATGAATCATTCCAACAATATCAAATATACACATTGTGTGGCGCCACATGTTTTGCCTCTTCTTTCTAAGTTATTATCGAAAATTTTCGAGCCCGAATAGAATAAAGAGACTAAGTATGCATTCCTTTATCTAGCCGAAGCGCAACTTTCGAGTTATCTCAACAGAAAAAAGATATACCATTAAGAGGGCGTTACAATCTCATCTTTGAGACGTTTTATGTCGGGGTGTGGGTGTGGGTGTGGGTGTGAGTGTGGGTGGGTGGGTGTGGGTGTATGAATGATTGCCTACACCCACACCCACACACACCCTTCATGATAACGCGATAATTGACCATAGGAATCAATTAACTAGATTTTAATAGAATTTCAAACCTGAAATTTTTTCATTTTGTTTTATTTAACATACTTGATTTCCATTGATTTCATTTGAATGCATAGCACATATAGCATCCGGTAAATTATGTGCTTCATCAATGATTATAACATTATTACGCATTTCAATACCATATGCTTCTCGTCTTGATTTATGCATTAAAATTTGATAGGGTAAAACAACTAAATGAGCAACTGCAATAGCTGCTCGTGTTGCATAATAAGGACATGTATTTAATTCACGGGCAAGTTTAACAACATCTTCAATATCTTGCACGTCACTCTAAAACAGAAATGATATATTATTATAAGAAAAAGATCGAAAAATATAAGAGACACTCTAAGTTTGCATTATTTGGCACGATATATGTTTTTGTCTTTTGCATTATTCACATACATACAGGTTAAGAAAAACTATTAGAAAGAAATATTTATCGAAAAACGAACGTGATTAACAACAGAAAGCAGATAACTCTTGTGTAAAAAGTCTTGGTACAAAGATTTTGTTCGATTTTCGAACACTTATAAGTTGCAGAACAGACTCAAAACTAGTCAGCTAGAAAGAGAATTTCTTGCCTTTTCTAAATGATATATTCAGAATTTTATTCTGACTTGAACTTGATTCATTAGCAGCAAATATTTGATAGGGACCAAAAAGGACATTTGTACAAAAGACTAGTTTTAAAGGTAATGATAAATATGTTTGCTGCTTTTTCGATCATTTAAATATAATCGAAAAGAATCTAAAAAAATCAGTTAGAAACAGAATTCGATGGTCTTTCTAAACATATCTTTAGAATTTTGCCCTGATTCTTATCTAGTCAGCTGTCAGCAAATATTTGAATAAATAAAAAGTCATTTGCAACATCTAAAACGCGCTTTTTTTCCTCTCGTTCGTAATTTCACTAAAAGTATTATGGGATAATTTTTATCTCCTATTGTTGTAGAGAATTACAATTGAGATACAATAAACTCGACCTCAAAAGAATCCAAAGTTAACAAATACTTTTCGGAATGCTACTCTTTCTATGAAATAACATTTTTCAAAATAATCGTTTATTCCGTATTGTACTGTTTGACATGCATGGAATTTTAATGGTTTGCAATAATATGTTCGAACCAAAATAAATTGAGCATTTTGTAGTGCAAACTTCATTCTGCAAACTGGTCTATAAAATCTCTTTCGTTCAATTCGAACTGAAGCATTTTTAACTCAAATAGAAAAATAGACTACATAGAATATCCTGTACAAATGTTGTTTTTTTGGTCGCCATTAAATTTCTGCTCTTAGTCAATTAAGTTCAAGTTAGAATAAAATTTTGAATATATCATTTAGAAAGGGCAAGAAATTCTCTTTCTAACTGACTACTTTTGAGTCTGTCCTGCAATCTATAAGTATTCGAAAATCGAACAAAATTTTTGTATCAAGACTTTTTATACGGGGATTAAAACCATGTTTGTCAACAAAAAATAGTTTTGTGAAATAAATTACAAAATATCAACAGAAAAGATAGCTTCTCCATTACCTATTCCTAGTGAATGTGTTTCATCAAAGGACTCATCATAATCATGTAGAAAAATGACGACTGTATTAAGATAATGAAGTACTGTCTATCAAGTAAGAGAAACAGATGCTATCAAGTAATGATGAAACTCTATTTATTCATTACGTTGCAATAATTACAAATTTTATTTCTATGCATTTCATCTTATTTATCTTGATGTGTTTTTTCTATATTAGAAAATGTTACTGTGAATATAATAAATTGATTTATGATTGGAATAATCACAAAGCTGAAGCTCGGATGACGAAATGTTTACTCTTTTTTTAAATTCTTTCGTAATAAGAATTATTTTAGATATAATTAAAGCTAAATTAATACGTATTAAAAATTCTTACTGAACCAGTGTCTAAATAATTAGAATGAAATGAAATTATATGTATTGTTTTAAATGTAGAAGCATATCATTAGATAAACATTCAACTCGATCATGTTGTAGAAATGAACAATCACAAGTTGTTTTTTCTAAAATAAATTATTATTGACGTAACATTAAATAAAAAGATCTATTTAAAATATATTTTTTTTGCTTTTATAAATCAAGACATTTTTCATTAATTAATGTTAATGATTTCAATTTAAGTACTGATTGATTAATACATAAATTCTAAAGAATTAAATAACTAACTATTGGAAATAATATTTAAAAAATCAATACTTGACCTGATCCAGGTGCTAACTAAACGTAATTGATCAACATATTTTGTTTTTTGAATTTCACCAATAAATTGTGATATTTGTGAATGTATATGAGTGCAAAAGATAAATCTTAAATAAAAGAAAACTTTTGTTTTTTTTTTGATAAATTTTTCAGAAAGAATATTTTACTTATTGGACATGAGCTTTTTTTTCTCGTGAACCTGTTGAATCAACTTGTGCTGATGAATTAATATCATCAAATAATATTTTACGATTATCATCTTTTATAATTAATTCTTCATCACTAAAATAAAAGAACATTTTAATAGATTAATAGTTTGATTATCAATACCTTAATTCATCATCATTATCGATTTTAAATTGATCTTTTAATACAGATAAATCATCACTATCAAGTTTTTGGACGTATTTCACCATTAAATAAATCTTGATACTTTGCATCAAAATCTCGTTTCTATATTAAATTAGATATTAAAAATAAGTTTGTAAAATACTAAATTTACTGTTTTCTTTGATATTAGCTATTAATGTATTCTTCGCAGCATTTGCATATTGTTCTTCAAGATCAATTTTCGTTTTTAATTCTTCCTAATAAGAAATAAGATTGATAGATATAAAACTATTGCTATACTCTCATAAAGAATTATTTTCTTTCTAAAGAAATCTTCCAACTGTTCAATAGCATTTCAGTCAAAGATATTGCTCTTTTATGGAATTAATTAAATCAATGTTGTCATTCCACTTAGAAAAAACAGCAGAAAAAGTGTTTTTCGAATTACAACTTGTAACTATACATAGAAACTTGTCTTAGCATGAATATTTTTATTTGTGAATGTTAATTTAAATCTTGTTGTTGTTGTTGTTTCTATCTTAAAATACAACTACAGTAATAGTGTGTCTTGTATATCGTATATATGACCTAACAGATTCGGTGTTCTTATTTCAGGATAGAAGTAAATCAAAAGATGAAAAAATTACTTTCGTTCAAGACTGTCTCCATGGAAAGTTTCGAGTTGAAGTTTGAAAATTAGTTTTTTTTTACGTTGTTCTTGAGACTTTCAGAGTACTTATCGCTGATTTGGATCTGCAGAATGCATCTAATGTTTTAACAGTTGAAAGACTTCTGTTATTAGATAAGAAAAGGTAAATTCTATTAGACATACTCGTCTTTTTTCTCTTGTATTTTCTTCTTCTTTACGTTTCATTAACCGTTTTAATCAATCATCCGAACTGAAATAATATCACTTAAACAATCAAAATAATATTTTATTTGTCAATCTCATTTTCATTTTTAGTTTCAATTGGTTTTAGTAATTCTTCATATTCATCTTTCTATGATTGTATTTCATCAAATAATCATCGAAGTGAACCACATATTAAACTTAAACTTTTACTAGGTAATACATTAAGAAGAAAATTGAACAACTAATAATAAACAATAATTTGTACAGTGCCAGTAGGTGATTGAAAAATCCCATGTTTACGTTGTTGAATAAAGACCATGCATAAAGTCAATTTAAATTTGATATCGTTCGAATGGAAATCCGAATGAGACTACTTCGACTATTAGGAAAAAAGAACAGAATATTTAATTTGATAAGTATCTTGTTTTTGACAACTACCTATCGGAACAGCTGGATCTAGTGTTTTCAAAGGAACATCATCTATCATAGACGGCAAGCAATTCATCATCATTAATATCATTATCATCAAATTTCGAAGATGCTGAACTTGTCATCTAAAAAATAATTTTTTGATCGAAAAAAAGCACAGAATAAGACATATTCGTGTATCATTATTTATCAATTATTGTTGCAACATAACTGAATAAAATTCAAGTTTAGTAAATACAAACTCTACTTCAATGATAATTATTAGATTAATTTCAAGAGTATTATTTATTTATTTACTAATGTCAAGAATATTATCTTTGTCTTGACTCAACTAAGTACAATAATGAGATAAGTGAGAAGATTAGTTTTGGTTCTTTGATCAACATTAAAAAGAAAGGCATTTAACAATAGGAAAATGAACTGTAAATTTATATATCTTCCTTTTCATTGATTACGAATATACTTTTATAATAAAAATTTATTATATAATATCATAGGGCACCAGTATATGGCTTTCTGTTCTTCGATTACTTTTTTCGTTGAGTGAAATGCTATATGTTTATATTTTGTTTCTTTATCTATCAAATTATTCTGTATCTTTTATCAAATGTCGATATAAGAATAATTATCTTTTTTGAATATGATCGACTGCAGTTTTATACAGTACGACTGCTTTTAAAACAGATAACATTGAAAATTAGCTGATTACATTAATATATTTCTCTCTGATATATAGAATTGCAGCACAATGAATTCATCAAATATATCTGTAAAGAAGAATTGATAAGACTGCAAAAGTTCAATAAAAGTCAATGTTTTTTTTGTAAAATTTTCTTTCTTTATATTATAATTCGAAATCAAATCTAGAACAAGAATACGGAAAAAACTAAGTTTTTCAGATAAAATCTTAAAGATTCTGAATCGACACCAATATTCATACTATCAACTAATGTTGTTATATGAGAAACGGTAATCTCGTTTGTAAAAGTGATCAATCCTTGTTCAATATCATATTGCCTTGGATCCGCAAAATTTGGTATTTTTCGAATAGAATTTTCTGTCAAGAAAGTTCCTTCGTTTAAATGTACAATATAATTATCAAATAGAAACTGATTAGTATCAGATTCTAATGAGTATCATTTAAAGATTGCACTGGCTTTTTGTTCGATAATTATTTCTTACAACTATATCACGAACCATACTTGCTAATGAAATCAAACTATGCTTATTGTTGTATCGGTAACAATTTTCATTCAAAAATTATTTAAATAACTTCTCAAAACATAATATTTAAGGGGATCTTCTCCATCAAAAAATCGAATTTTTCATAAAATATCAAAATTGTGTTTTTACTATAGGAAGATACAACGAGACTTCCTCTTTCAGAATATAGACATTTTTTTAAAAAATGATTCGATTTTCAAAGATTTATCAAGTCAAACTTTAACTACATTACCATATTTTCCGAGAAAATTTCGTAGTTTTTTTAAAGTTCTTCAATTTTGAAAAAATTTCATTGCATCTTGAATCATTATTGAATAGAATATTTTAATATTAATCAGCATATTATATGGTATTAGTTTTACTGCACCTGTTACACGCTTGAAAATAGTTCCAGAAAAAAATATATAGAATTTTTCTCAGAACATAGTTTTGTTTGAAAGGTCTTGATCATTAGTAAACTTTTGTCCGAACGGATTTTTTAAAGTTAGTTCCTGGACTGAGAGAAACGAAATTTACTATCGTTGAACCATCATTTTTTGTGCTAATTTTAGAACCCTTGTACTAAAATGCTCACTTACTCGTTTCAGAATATGTTTATTGAAGAGATGTAAGGATTCATACATTGGACTGTAGTTTACAAGAAAAAGGCAAACTCATTTTGAGGTGCTGCACTTTATTATTACATCCTTTTTTTGTTGTTGATGAATGTGCAACACAAATAAGTTGTGTATGATACGAAAAATAAAAAAATTCTCTTTCTTGTCAATATAGGCTGTTTTTCAGCACTCTTCTTATACACACTCATGAGAGTCAACATTTTTCATATAACTTTTGCATCATATGGTATATTAAAAGCTGTAACTCAAAGACTTTATTAGATTTCAAGATTGAAATCTCATCACTACCAGTCTTATTGGTTAGGTGTTAACCTTTGACGATGAAGTGCGCTATACCGTTGGTTTTAACAATTCTAAGTGTCGTTTTTATCGTAGCTTCCCTTGTAATTAAAATCAGCAATTTACTATAATTTTACTAATCCGATGATTAATTCTCATCACAGCATTTAACCGTGATTTAACACTAAAAATGCTTCGATTTTTTGTGAGATTGCGCTATTGTCAAATTCACCAGTACTCAAAATAGGACTTTTTGTTCCAATAAAAGTATTCAATAAATTGAAACATTGCATAGAACATGCCTATTTTAAAATGTCAATTAATCATGATAGAACATATTTACGAAAACAAACTGCTTGCTAGTTATCGACAGACGAACAAAATGAACTTTGAAATGATATATTACTTTGATTAATACAAATTCATAAAACAGAAATGTCTTTTTCCTTATGTAATAGTTATTAGCTTTTCTTTTGTAACAAACAATTGCATAAACAGCCTCACCCTTTTTCTGTTATATCTAGTGATCTCGAATAATGAAAACTTACTATTTTATTGATTGCGCATATAAAATGCTCGATATATATATAAAAAAATGTTTGTTTTTATTCGCGAGTTTATATTAACAACAACAAATAAATGAATTAATGGCTAGCAAGTACATTAGCAAAATGATACAATTCTTCTTTTGGTTCATAGCCATCTAATTCTATTCCATATTCACTACATAAAATAGGTCTTAATATATCGTCTTGAACTTCTTGTTCTTTTTTCGTATTTACAGGTTCCGGATCATCTCTTTTAAATCGTTTATTACTATTCTTTTTCTTTTGTTTCAATGATTTTTGACTGTTAGTTTTCGACACATGAACAATACGATTTTCATCAATTGTACAATTAAAGATAAACATTGCTCGATATTGATTTCGATTTGTTTCATGTCTATTTAGTAAAAAAAATGAAGTTTAGAAAAGAATAAAGAAAAGTCTTCTATTAGATTACCTTTGACAATCGTGACAAACTAATAACATACAACCAGGACAAATGAGAACTGCATCAGTTGGTCGAAGTGATGATGCATATGATTTTTGTGTGATGTTAATTCCTCGAGATCTAAATAGAGTAATTTCAACATAAAAAGAAAAAGAATCTATCTACTTGAGACGTTCATTTCTCATTCATTTTTCATCATCATCTTCTTCTTCTTCAACAGGATCATAAAGAAGATCATCATTTATCTTTTCTTGATCATCCTTATTCAATACTGGTTGATCTAGAAAATTTCTTCATTTGATACAAAAATAAAATAACTGTCTTACTTTTTTCCTCGTTTTCATCATCACTATCATCTTCATTTTGTTCACTAACTACTATTTTCTTTTGTTCTTGCGCAGAGTTTCTAATAACAAGTGTACACGGCAGAAGCAAAATGTACAAACATTTGCAGCTTTGAAAATACACGCTGTCGTACACTTGTCTTAAAAAGCAGCGTATATATTGTACATTTTGCAAGTGAGATTTTAAATGTATTTTTAGCTTAAAAATTATATTTAAACGATGATCCGATTCTAGTCTATTTTTTATTTTTTTGTATGCATTGATTGACATTTTTTCTCTTCGTAATTTCTTTTCTTTTCAGATTTATATAAAGTCTTTTCGGATACTGATGTGATAGCTGCAGAAA